TGATAAATCGCTGTCCTGCTATCCCGCACCAATACGGGACTGTCACAGTACCCTGCGTACAGCCTGTTTACCCACGTCCCAGATTTAAAAAAGACCAGCACCATATTTAGAAATTTATTGTTCAGGCATAGGAAGATACACACTGAAGGACATCCCGAAAAATCGGGTGCACGCACACGCGACTTTTTATGCAGCACGATAGACAATAACCTCCTTCTTTCCCACACGGGCCTGCAGAAAACCGTGTTCAATGTGGCTCAGTTGGCTGAAATTGCAAGAAAAGACTCATGTGAAATGGTTAAAAAGACCCTGGTAACAATCCATCATAGGAATCACAACGCCCATAGAAGTCAAATAATTGTGGCCAGTTGGGATGTGCAGATTCACATTTTTTCCTCTCTCTATTGGCTGTATTTCTCAGTAGCCCCTCACTCGTTGTGTTTTACCCATAGGCGGTTTCACCAGTTACCTCAGATTTGTCGCCAGTTGCTTAAGCTGATTTTTCAATCATCGAGCTCTTTTTCTTTGCTATATCTTAACTTTTCATAATAATCGTATCTACTATTGCCTATTTTTGTTTGATATATCATTTTTATTTTCCCTCGTGCTCCCACCCGTATAACTCCTGTTATCAACGGTGCCATACTATAGAATGCTGGGGTTTTCGGTTTCGTGTAAACCAAACAGGTATATTCATAGGGGAGTGGGATGGTAGTTTAAAATGAGGGGGTTCCGATTTCTGGAGAATGCACGATTTCGAGTTGGTTGGACAGAGACTTTACGCACACTGTCAAGAGGGGAATAAGAGCAATTACTCGATAGGTGTTACCGTGGGAGTGCCTCGAATTTAAATCTCAGAAGTGTACGGACCACTCGACGATAGTGAAGACCGGATGGGTGGGTCAATTTCAGTGCCTCGAAACAGAAATATAAACTTCAGCAATACAGTACGCAGACATGGTTACGGCTAAAGAGTTAGACGACCAGTGTCTGGCGGATAACCCCATGCGTATCCAAACTTCCCGGGGACGGGAATTAAATAACAGGGAACAGGTGGAAAAATGGAATCTGAAAAATAAAGACTAGCAGTTCGTCAGGCAACTCGTTACAAATACACTCCACTCACCGGCTAACAGTGGGAGTGGGTATTTCGGAACACCCTCTTCCCTTTATGACTTTAAGCTCACACCCGCGCCCCAGTGATCGAAAGCGACAGGACAACGAACCTCTGGCTCAATGGTTAGGCTGTTGTACTTCTAATCAACAGGTCGTAGTTTCAAGCTCCGGCGTTGCTAAACCTGGGGTTGGATATGGCTGACGGATGACGGCTAATAGGCCACAGATGACCGTCCCAGTGTCCCTTGTCTTTGTCGGTGATGCCTTTTTGCTTATATTATCGGTCGTTTAGAGGATTAAGTAGAAACTTCCTTATAATAGACCCCTTGTTTCATGCTCCTTAAATATTCGACTCAATTTCTGTATTTTTTTGACCATTAGACCAACCAGTGTCCTCCCAGCATATTACACTGGACAGTTGGATGATGAATCTGGCAACTGTTTTTGTCTAAAAGTGGAAGGATTCGACCGGAGAGACGCATCTAGACCAGATGGGCGTATTAAACTGCTATCATTGGAGTTCAATAGAAAAGCTTGTGACAGCTTGATAAATCGATTTTTCGGAAGGCATCCTTGAAAAGGAATCTTTCTCTGTTCATGTACTTGTAGATAAAAGACAGAAAGGTTGAATACACTCAATTGCTTATAAGAGCGGTCCTAGTCCAAGCTTATGCCATGCGTTTTATGCTGTCATGAGATTACACAAAAATAAAAACACCACAGAAGAACTGTTTGATGATGATGCTGAATCAAGGCCACTAATGCCTAATGCAAAACCACGGAACTGAACGCGTTTATCGACTTTTGGTCGTGTATGACAGACTATGCAAACCTCCGTGAGGTTATAAAAGCACATAGAAGCAAACAAATCTTACCAGCCAAAGGAATCACCGACAATGGCGCTCCAGTTGCCTCCAACCGTCTTCTCCATGCGCTTCCTCAACTTCTGGGCAATATCTTTCTCTGTGACGTATTTATTCAACAAGCGATGAAGTTTCTCCAGCGCAATGTCCCGTTCCGCACTAGGAAGGTCTGCTTTCTCCACCTCAATGTCCCCGTGAATCGTCGATGGTGGGATGTTCATTTTGCTGTGGCTGGGGCTGATTCGTCTGCAACAACTGCACCTTTATATACACCGTTATTTTGATATCTTTATCTGATAGCACCTGGTGACAACGCGCTCTAGAAAAATAAGTAGCATTATCACGAGCATGAGGACTTTTACAGTACATCGTGGCATCTCCGGAAAGTACAATTTGTAATTCGGATAAAATGGCATCATTTGGTCTCTTAGAAGGGGCTGAATCATAAACAGAGAATCGTTGGCTATGGACAACAAAGAATAATACTTGCCCCCAACGGCCAAAAATAAAAAGGGAAGAAGTCGAACATTTTATGTTGCTATGTCACTGTTTTATTCCGCTGGAGACTCAGTCAACTCAGAAGGAACTGTACTGTTTATAGAGAAGGAGGAGCCGGGAAGAGTATCGTTTTGACTCCATTTAGCCAGACATACCATCACACGTAATGCAGAGCAAACTATGTATGTTAAAAATGTAACTAGGCGGTTCATGCTAAATGACATTTATTAGACCCTGACGACATCTAAGCGGAAAAGAGATATCCTGTCAGAATTCAGCCATTCAGAAGATACTTGCTTTGCCAAAACTTGAAAAGTATACGGTTCCTCTTATCAATTATGATCGAATCTGTGACTCCAATAACAAAACGAGGATAGTAGAAACTGACACATGGTTGTCTTTCGGAAACAAAAACAAAAAAAATTTACACCGATGTCGGAGCAACAGGATTATACCAAAGTCTGTGCAAGTAAAG